TATTCTTGTGAGTCATGTGAACCAGGGTCTTTGGGAAATCCCTTGAGGTGGTCTTGTTTTTGTGAGATAATCAATGTGTTTTATGTCGATTTCATAATCATCATTCATGTTATGTGTAAATTGTAATGTGTGCACTTCATTCATTACTAATTTATTGCCCTCATAATGCTTCAAGGTTCAATTTTGAAATACACGAATCTAAATATTATTACAACTCAAGAATTGTATTGATAACTCGTGGTATGAACATGTACGTTCTTTGATGATTTTTAGTTGACTCTCGAATAGGTCTTGCTCTATCTCTCAAATCTCTTTGTGTGATAAGTTCTCAAAGCATTTGTGTTAAAGTTCAAGACGTTTCATGAATTCAATCTTTCTCAAATCTCTCTGTGTGATAAGTTCTCAAAGCATTAATGTAATTTTTTGTATTGAAGTTCAAGACGTTTCATGAATCCAATCTTTGTTTGACTTGATTTGGAGTTAGTCAAACTTCTCATAATTCCAAACTATCTAAATTTTTTTGTTCAATTATGATAAATTTTCATGTATTGAACTCCAACTATGTTATCCCTATGTATTCATGTTAGTAAAATAAAAATAAAAAAGATGAATTTGAAAGACATAAAATAAAATAATCCGACTTCACAAAATTCATTGTGTATCCATAAGAAATTTAGTCCCCATACCTGAATTTGTAGATAAATTCCTCCCAAAATAAAACGAAATAACCATTAAAGAAGTAATGATAATGAGAGAAATCCTCGCTATTTATATCCATCTATAGGTGTGAACATACATGTTAAAACAACAGGTCATTTTCGAGCAAATTTTAATCTCGATTAATCAAATAAATTTTGCCTGACAAATTATCAATCAATCACGAAGGCGCAAGGGGACACTCTCCACTTAACCCTTTGAAAGTTGAAGGAAGTGTTTCTGATATAAGGACAATCATTTTCCTTTCTTCTATCAATATAAGATAAATGACTTTTCATTTTCCTCCAAATTGATTCTCCACATTTCTCAATTTTTCATTAACATCTTGCTTAAACCAATAAGTTCCTTATACAATTGAACTAACGCAAATTACAATTTTCTAAGGTTTTCTTTTGTGCATATGGATAACTTCTTCTTGCATCAACAAAACAATTTCCGGATAAGTTATTTCGTTCATTGATTTGACTTGTTTTGACCCCCTTTAATACGTTTTGACCCTATTTTCAAGCTCTAATATATAATTTTTACCACTTCTTTCTCTTTCTCTTTATTTTTAAAATAATTTAATTAAAAAAACTACTAACATAACTTCTTAAATTCACTATATGTTAAAATTTACAGTGGATGGAGGAACTTCAATGATCTTATGACATGAATGGATGAAACTACAATTTGTGTAATAACATTAAATTATTCTCTTCCTTGGACAGTAGAATATGGAATCATGAAAAAGAAAAGGTTATAAAAAGTAGTAATATAGTTTGCAATATTCTTTAGTTTATCCATGCATTACCTTTTGTGTTTGTTACAATTGAAAGAACTTCAACGATGAAATAAAGACTAAATTAAAATTAAAATTATACCTTACATTCTAAGACTTCCCAAGAAGAAAGGTGCTTCTTGTTTCATTGAATGATATTGAAAATGATTCATAAATTTTTCATAAGTGCCACCGATTTGAGTAATATAAGATAACAAAGAAGCATAGAGTGAGAACTCAATAATCAAAAGAACATAATAATATACACATCTGTGTTAGACATGTTAATATTTGTAATGAAAAAACTCTAATATTTTTTAAAGAGATATTGAGTTTACCTTTTGATTTATTAAAAAAAAAAGTGATTCTCAGTAATGCACTTCAATTCTACGAAATATATGAAAAATTTATAGGTCAATACGACTATTAGTTGCACATAGCTAGATGTGGACCCCACTCATGCCAAGATACATAGTACAATTATTAAAATAATAATATTAAGGTTAGATGACAATAAACAAATTAAATTAAATAGAATTTTAAAAAAGTCAGTAGTGTAAATAGAATTAGAAAAATCGGTAGTGATAATATATATATATATATATATATATATATATATATATATATATATTAAAATTAGAGATAAAAAATGAAATTTAGAACTAGTTAGTGTAATAATACTTTTTTTTTTGGTTGGTATATTAATTTCTTCTATAAGAAAAAATATTGTAAATAGATTACAAACTATCATATTATGGTCATTCAATTATTTTCTTTTCATAAAAAGATCTTAATTCTTTAAATTAGACATCAAACTAATTAATTTTGAAAAAATATATTAAAATTGGCTTAAAATAAGGAATTTAGAACTAAATGAATTATAATATAATTTTATTTAAAAAAAATATACACCAAGAATGAAATTTAGAACTAGTTGATGTAATAATGTTGTTGGATAGTCTTTTATTTTTCTTCTTTAAACAAAAAAAAATTGTAAATAGATTACAAATTACCATATTGTGGGCGTTCTTTTATTTATATTTCATAAATAATTTAGATCTTGATTTTTTAAGCTAGATATCAAACTAAATAATTTTGCAAAAACAGTATATTATGGCTAGTATTTAATTTTTCTTCTGTAAAAAGAAAAAGTATTTAGATTTGTAGCTAGACTTAAAATTATTTAATTTTTTAAAAATGTAGGAACTTTGATTTATAAGAAAGAACATAATTTAGATCTTAGTTCATTAAACAAGATATTAAACTAATTAATTTTGTAAAAATGTATCAAACTTGGCTTAAAATAAGGAATTTAGAACTCCATAAATTTATAATTGAATTTGTATAAAAAAATATATATAAACATCGGCCAAAAATGAAATTTTAGAACTAGTTAGTGTAACAATATTTGTTTTGGCCAGTCTTTGGTTTTTCTTCTATAACAAAAATAATTGTAAATAGATTACGAACTACCATATTGTGGTCATTCTTTTATTTGTTTCATAAGATGAAAACAATTTAAATCTGAATTCTTTAAGCTAGATATCAAACTGATTAATTTTGTAACTATATTTAAAAAATTATAATATAGTATATTATGGAAAGTATTTAATTTTTCTTCTATAAAAAGAAAAAAAAAGATTTAACTTTTTTTTTAAAAAAATGTACGCAATTTAATTTAAAGTAAATAACATAATTTAGATCTTAGATTCTTTTGAACTAGATATCAAACTAATTAAATTTCTAAAAAATATATCAAACATGGCTTAAAATAAGAAATTTTTAAATACATAAATTATAATATAATATTTATAAAGAAATATTAAAACATAGACCAAAAATGAATTTTAGATGCAGTTACATTTTTTTGTTAGTCTTTTATTTTTCTTCTATAAGAAAACAAATTGTAGATTTATTACAAAATATCATATCATGATCATTCTTATATTTTCTTTTCATAAAAAGAAAATAATTTAAAAATGAATTCTATAAACTAGACATCAAATTGATTAATTTTGTAAAACTGTATCAAAAATTATAATATGACAATTATTTAATTTTTCTTTCGTGAAAATAAAAATATATTTGTTATCTAAATTTAATCTTTTTAAAAACAGACAATTTGATTCAAAGTAAACAACATAATTTAGATCTTTGAATTAAATATCAAACTAATTAATTTTGTAAAACTTTATCAAACATGGCTTAAAATAAGAAATTTTGAACTACATAAATTATAATATAATTTTTATAAAAATGTTAAAACATAGACCAAAAATGAAATTTAGATGTAATAATATTTTTTTGTAAGTCTTTTATTTTACTTCTATAAGGAAAAAAAAATGAAAACAAATTACAAACTATCATATTGTGGTCATTTTTTTTTAAATACAAAATAAATATTTTAGATCTGAATTCTTTAAACTAGATATCAAACTGATTAATTTTGTAAAACTGTACAAAAGATTATGATATAATATATTATGGCTAGTATTTAATTTCTCTTCCATAAATAGGAAAATATATTTAGATTCTATAGATAGATCTAAATTATTATTATTTTTTTAAATGTACAAAAATTTATTAAAGTAAAAAAGAAAAAAAACATAATTTAGATCTTGATTCTTAAAATAAGAAATCAAACTAATTAATTTTGTAAAAATGTATCAAAACTTGGTTTAAAATAAGGAATTTAGAACTACATAAGTTATAATATAATTTTATTTAAAAAAAATTAAACAAAGACCAAAAATGAAATTTAGACGTAGTTTGTGTAATAATTTTTTTTTATTTTATTGTAGCAATTAAAATCTTTTGCATACACATAAAAATAAGAGAAAATTGTATAAAATAACAAATTATTAATTCCAATTAAGTGTTATAACCATGATTTAATTGTAACCTGTAGCAAACTGTTGTCATTTCGCCTCTCTACCTAAATTTCTCGCTCACCACTCTCATTTCTCGCTGAGAAGTCTCTCCTGACCTCTCTCAATTTATACGAACACAAATATATAAAATGCTTTGTGATTGTATAAAGCGAGAGAAAATTACACATAAACATATCTTTTCGTTCCTCTTTCTCCCCTTTCCCAAATCTTGCTTGCCACTCTCCCAGATCTCGTTCACCAGTCTCACTCGCCTCTCTCACTTTATACAAACACAAACGTATAAATTTCGTTTGTGTTTGTATAAATCAAAAGAAAATTATATATACAAATACTATTTTTGTCCTATACACTTGTGATTATACAAATATAAATCTTTTCCTGTCCAATTTTTTTTTGTCTTTTCTCTTTCTCGTTTTATAAGAACAGAAATTATACAATTGATTCTTTTGTATATGTATATAGCGAAACAAATTATACAATTACTTTTTTTTTATATGTATAGCGGAATATACATTTTAATAGCCATATCAAACCTTAAATGCAATTATGTAAACTATAATTATAACATACAAATATGATTTTTATGTTTGTTGTAGTAAAAGTTGCTTGATAAATAAATATGATTCTAAATTGCGAAGAAAAATAAGAGAAACAGAGAAAAACAAGATATAAGGGACTAAAATGATCTAACCCCTATACATTAAGGACTATTCTGATAATAATATTTTCAAGGCTTTTTTCTTCCAATTTCCGGTTTGACTACACCGGCGAGCAGAGAAAAGAGTAATGGCCACTGAGGTTACTGACCGGAATCTCTCAACTCCGACATTCTTCGTCGCTGTACACGTCGGCGCTGGTTATCACTCGCCGTCGAATGAGAAAGCTCTCCGTTCAGCAATGAAACGTGCGTGTCTCGCTGCCGCTTCCGTTCTCCGAAAGGTCTCTCTCAAAATATGAAATTGCTTCATACTTGTTAGTTATGCAGATCGATGTATCGATTCCAATTATATATGTTTTTGATGTTTTAATTCATGGTAAAAAAAGGATGCTCGGAAGCAACTAACTTAAAATTTCTTTCATATAACTGTGGTTCTGCTGGTTTTTAATATCAGGACGCTGGTGGATGCATAGACGCTGTAACAGCAGCAATTCAAGTACTGGAGGTACTTCAGTTACTTCATACTTTTTTCCTGAAAACCTTATAGTGGATTCTGTTTTCGACAGTGTTTTTATCGACATCTCAAGATGATATAATTGTGTTATAGAAACTTGGAAGAATTATGCACTACAGTGATGTTTTCTTTTGGTCAATTTCTCAAGAGGTGAAGAAATTTAGGTAAAATATGGTGCTTGTAGGATAAATAAATTCTGGTGGAAAGATGGTCAGACAAGTTAGCGTTACCATTCTAAAAAAAAAGGATGGTAAGACTAGTGCAAAGTTCCTAACTTGACATAAAATAGGTTTAAGTTGTTTCGACATTGATTGTAATGTCTTTGGTCATATCCAGGTTCTGTAAATTGGAGAATAAGCTTTTATAATTTATGAGGGGTTCTCTCAATTTTCATAATTTGTCATCCATGAATCTCAAATAACTTTTACAAGTTCTTCTTTTGAAATTTGTCTCGTGATATTGGTGCCCTGCGGATCGTTGGTGGCATCAACATTAATAAGCAAAGTATTACATTTCCCGGGAAGAGAGAGATTATGCCATTATTTGATCTCTCCAAGCAATTTCATAGTAAAGAGTTGCTTAGATGTCCTCCTTGGCAAGTGGGCTTCTAGGATTTCAACATGCATGTTTATTGCCTCCATGAAATATGGATCATGTCCCTGATATTTGGGAAAACCATCACAAAAACTATTCCTCTGTTCAAAGTACTTCAATAGTGTCAAGATTAGCACGCTGGTATCTAATTGAATGTCCTATTTTAAAGTTGCTTTATCATTGAAATGGATAACATTGAAATGGATAACACGAGCACCGTTTTAGTTAGATCGGGTGCATGTGGACGCACTAGTTACTTTTGATATTTAAAGAATAGATTAAGGACAAACTGGTTTTTGGAAGAGGAAGTGTGTATATACAAGTTTCTAGTTGTATAGTTTACAACGTACCTCTTTTGGTAAAACCACATAATTTGTGAGTAGCTCTAGAAAAAGCTGGATATAATATTTGGGATAGAGGCACCAGAGTAGTAACAAAATTACTCTTTTTTTTTTTGAATAAGTAACATTTATATTATAACTCAACACTTAGGTAGTGCTAAACCCCTTTACAACAAGTCGAAGTATAGCAATATATCAAAGGACTCCCAAAGCATGAGTCTAACACATCTAGGATATTTTCTGCATCTATAGGGGAGTTCCTTGTACGCCAAAAACACAAAAGAAAAATACAATCTGTTTGATTTTCCGTACTGTTCTACTCCTTCTTTGAAACACCTAGCATTTCTCTCCTTCCAGATGGTCCACCATATACAAGATGGTATGTTTCTCCAGTAGCTCCTGTTTCTTGCTCCCTTCCCAGCTTTTTCCCACCTAGATAGAGTGTCAACAATCTTGCTAGGCATTGTCCATTGTATGCCTCTGAGATTAATGAAAATCTTCCATAGTTTGTCAGTGATTCTACAATGCAAAAGTAAATGTCCCACTGTCTCAGCTGCCTCACCACATAAACAACAGTGCTTGACTAAGATAATGTTCCTGTTTCTTAGGTTTTCATGTGTCAAGACAGCTTCTTCTGCTACCAGCCATGAGAAACCTGCCACCTTCAAAGGTCCTTTGGTTCTCCAGATTTGTTTCCATGGCCATATGGAGTTCTGTGCCACTATCGAGTTGAGAAGTTTGTACCCTGAACTTACTTTGTATACCCTTTTGTTGTGCCCATTCCACCATAGTCTGTCCACCCCAAGTAACAAAATTTACTTGTAAGTTTACCTTGTATTGAAATGTAATATCATAAAAGTTAGTTGCAATTTTTGCCGTAGTTGATTGAAGGAGGTGTTCAATTATACGGTTATCAAAAAAAGAAGGTATTCAATTACCAAGCAATGGGGTGAAAAGGGGATGATGCTTGATGAGTCACTTGCGTCAAGTTTGTTCTGCTGTTATATGAGCTTGTAAATGTCGAAATCATATTAAAGTTTGTTATAACTTCTCAAAAAATATTTTGTTGCAAATGTCCCATCTTGAAGTCCTAAAATCCCCTTCTAGCATGGACTGTAGGTGAAGTTATATTCTTGCAGGATGATCCAAATACAAATGCTGGACGGGGTTCAAATTTGACAGAGGATGGTCATGTGGAGTGTGATGCTAGTATTATGGATGGTGATTCTGGAGCATTTGGTGCCGTAGGTGCAGTGCCAGGTATTCTCAGAGCCAATTATCATGTACTTTATTGCTGAAAGTAGAGGTCATGCATTGGTGATGTATTCTAAAGTTTGTCGTTATTGCTTTAGAGTTAATACTTCAAATTCTTGTGGCATCAATTTTGTTTACTCTTGCTACATCTTCTGTGAAGTTAACCTTTACCAGGTGTCAGAAATGCCATTGAGATTGCTACTTTGTTGGCCAAGGAACAGATTTCTGGTTCTTCACTGCTTGGACGAATATCTCCAATGTATGATGACTCTTCTTTAGATGTCTTGTAAATAACTCTATATTGCTTCAATTGATATATCATCAATCCTTTTACTATATTTGGGCAATATGAATACATTATTGGCAAAAAATAGTTGTCTAATAATTCAAAGAAATTGGAATTTGCTAAAAAGGTAAGCGGGTCCAATAAACTTATGTGGACTGAAAAAATAATTAAATAGGTGAGAGACGTGTCATTCAATTTGATGCTTCTTTGTTGTAAATTACTCATTGTTCGTCTATATGAGAAAAATTGTTTGATGTTCTACATTATTTATCAAGGTTGGCTACTTTGGTTTCAGATTTTTTTCTTTTTTTGAATTTCAAGGGACCCAGACACTAATTAATGATGAAAAATTGTTTTACAACGCTTGTTCTACTCATTGCATCCTTCCTTTTTCAAAATTTATTCATAAACAGAAGTCCAGTTCTTTGTCTCTTGGTTTGACTTGTTTCTTCTTCCAACTTTATATTCTAATGAAACTTTTCTGGCCTTCGGTCTAGGTTTTTAGTTGGAGAAGGTGCCCGTGCATGGGCGAAGTCCAAAGGTGTTGTTTTACCATCAACTCTGACAGAGGCTGACGAGGTAGAATACACTTGTCTTAACTGTAGATTTGTTTTTACTTAGGTGTCATACACAAATAGTAGTTACATTGAATAAAATATGTTGAAGTGTATGCCCATCTTATTTAAAATGTTACCAGGTTCAAAACAAAAAAAAGACCATCTCATCTAAAAGTTTGAGCTATTAGAGAGAGCACCCTTTTGTTTACTTAATTATATCTTCAACAAGGATTCTTCTTTTGATGAGCCAAGCATGTGGAAATGGTATTTAATAATGGGTGCTACCGTGCTGATTAGATTCGAATCTAGGAACTTTGTTTGGTCTGCTACCATGTTAAAGAAATGGATTTTGTTAGGATTCTTGTAATTTACTCTACTCTAAACTCTGGCTCTCGCCTATATAAAGGGTAATATATTCCCTTGAAGAGACATCTCAAATATCCCTTGATAACTACAGAAAAGTTTATAATAACAAAGTCCTAAATTAAAAGGAGTTCAAAATAAGGAAAGTTTGTCCCAAAACGCGTCTTCATGGGACGACTCCACAGACGATCCGTCGATGGAACGGCGGACCGTCGACTGCCTCTGTCGGTCAATACTTAGCATCTTCTTCACGCCTCCAAATCGAACTTTCTCTGATCCTATCGACATACCAACAACATGGTACGTCGATGCACTTACGGCTTGTCGATGCGTATCGTCGTTCCATACTTAGCTTTTCTCCAACACCGGGTACTAGGGCAGTCTTCGATCACATCGACGACTTGCCAGCACGATCCGTCGATTAGTTGACGGACCGTCGATCCTTCTGTGGCCTACACTTGGTCAGAATTCCCCGAGTTGCTTCGAAATGCTCTAACCTTCAGTCAACGGTCACCACCTACGGTCCGTCGATGAGACGACGGGCCGTCGATGGCTTTGTGGATGGTCACTTCTGCATTGATTTCTGCACAGTCTTTCGCATTTTCGTTTTGGACAATTTTCCTGCAAAACATAGATAAACACATTAAAATTACTACAAAAAGGCCCTAGACACACACTAAACTTAAGAAAAAAGCATTGAGAGGCTCTGATGTAGACCGGGAAGAACTCGGTGCTCCACTAGTGCCCAGGGCAGACTCGACCACGTGGTGTCCATAGGATCTGAAGCAGCATGATCAGCCCCTTGGGCTTGCTCTACCGTATCTGCGAGGTTCTCACCCAATGGCTGCACATCCACTCGGGGCCCTCTATTTGGTGCCCCCTTATTGGCCTCATCCCTGATGAGACCAATGTCCACTGTCCTGGTAGATGTATATAGAACATCTATGTGCCAAATGGGCACTCCAGCAGCCCTGCACAACTCAAAAATCATACAAGGGAAAGGGTAAGTGGTCGAGGTCTTAAAAGCCCTCTCATGGATGACAGACAACAACGGCCTTGGAAAATCAATCTCGAACTCGGCGACCATAGCAGCAACTAAAACCGCTCTATCCCACGTAAGTATGTTGTCAGCAGCTGTGGGGAATAGGCGGTTTAAAAGCCAGATGAACTTGGCAACAAATGTGAGGTTGGCCTTCTTGATAAGGCCTGTGGGGTCCAACACCCAGTCGCGCCCTCACGGTCTACACATATGTGCTGGGGAGTCCACCTCTTGGTGGTCTCTCTCAGATCCTTGTCTCGCTGGAAATGATCTTGCTTAATCACGTTCCACCTATAGTCAAACTAGGGGGTGAGGGGGACCCTGTTGGCATCAGTATCTGCATCGTCTAAGAAACGGCGGATGGTAGGCAAAGAAGTATTCACTCGGCAGCCACAGACTCGGACATATGTAAGTGGTGCCTGTTTGGCGGGATTAGACCGCCTATCCAAAGAACCCCTAGAGTTGCTACGTAACAGGTGTAGAACTCTCGCACCAGCTCCTCACTGTAGCGTCCCACACTCCTAGCCATCCACTCGAGCTGGTGGCGGGTGAATAGGTCATGTATCGCAGGGACAGTGTGTAGACTTCCCTGTAAGAACCCACCGCTCAACTGTCAGAGTTCGAGTCATGACCCCCTTATCATTGAGCAGCTTGGCGTTGATACGCTCAAACTTACTTCTCAAATAAGAAGTAAAGCGGTCGTGTCAAGTAAATAACCCAACTAGTGATGTTGGGATCGTTCCCACGAAAAAAATAGTTTAGACTTAACTTCAATCTATTACTATTATTGTTCAGTCAATTACATCCTTGGAAAGCAAACATGATAAGAGGGGGGTTTTCTATTTCTAAGTAAATGAAAATAACTATCAAAATAAAAGGAGACAACATACAGCTTCGAATGTTGGAGTTTAATCAATTAATCAAAGTAACTAGGGTTTACGTGTTCCCACAGGTTCATAACTTGATAAGTCTAACTATAACAATTCTTTCCTAGTATCTTGCATGCAAAGTGATAAGTTATGTATTTCTAAATCCTTGGTCCGGCATCTAGAAAATGTCACTCCGCACCTTGGTCCGGCTACGTGTGTTGCTATCCTAACCCTTATCTTTACCTCATATTAAGCATCGTATTCGATATTTGACTAAGTTATTACCTCGTACCAATCAATACTAGCTATTAGATAGTATACTCTAAATCTATGTTGATAATTCTTTTCCTATTATCTATCTCCTTGGTCCGGCAAGTAGCATTAAGGCGAGTTCTAACGTTGGCCATCCATTAAAAAGACTTCTATGCGAAAGAATTATCAATACATGCTACACACTATTCTAGAATTGTTATTTTAGTTAGGTTTTACCTCATTATTTGCCTATGGTTCCCATAACCCTAGTTCATGGAGTTTAGTTACCCATAGTCATAATCACAATATTCAAATATATGATATAAGAATTCATGTACTTATTTCAATGATAAAGAGTAAAATTCAAAAATTCGCTTGATTAATCAACAAAAATCACCAACACTCAATGATAAAAGTCTCAAGATAATAAAAAATCTAACAACAATCAAGGGCCTAACCAAATAATCCAGAGTCTCACTAATAATCCAGCGTCTAACCTCAAAAACGAGGTTTTTCGAACTACTTATAGAAAATAAAAACCTAATTAAACAAGGGCTCTATTTGCTAGAAATCTGTCAAAATGCGGCTGAGTCGACGGACCTCGCGACGGATCGTCGTGGTCACGACGGGCCGTCATGGATTCAGTCGTCCCATACTTGTGCAATTTTCTTGTGCTGCTCTTTTCATTACCCTCGACGACAGGTATGACGGATCGTTACGAGCACAACGGTCCGTCGAGGGTCTCCGTTCCAAAACACTTGAACTCTTGGAATATGGGTACTGGGGCTACTTCTTTGATCTTCATGACGAACCTGCAGGACGGACCACATGGCTACGACGGTCCGTCATGCTTTCCGTAACCCCACACTTGGTCAGAATTCCCCATCTTCCTTCAGCAGCTGCACTACGCTGCCACCTACGGACCGTCACAAGCATGACAGACCGTCACTAGCATGCGGACCGTCACAAGCTCCGTAGGTGGTCTCTTCTGTATCTCTTCGTTCAAAAACCTCCGCATTCATCTTTGGACAGATTTCCTGCAAATAAGGAGAAACTTATATAAAAATTAGCACAAAAAGGCTTTTGGACACACTAAACTTAAGGAAAAAGTATTAATAATACCGTGAAACCACGGTATATCAGGCGTCCCTGTATATCTGGTTTTGCCCCTCTACGCACCACAGGATAGGCTGATCAGCAACCGGTGCAGGATCCTCAACAATTTCGTACAATAATTGCATTTTAAGGCTAAAATATTCATAGGCATTCTTCTGCCAGTGCTCCAAATTGAAGAGTGGAATGACACTTTGACAGTGGGGAGATATCTATATAATTAGAGTGAAGTGCTTAGCTCCTTTTAAGCTAAAAGGGAGATCTCTTGAATTTTAGTCAAACTAGATGGGTGGTCTATCTAAATATCATATTTTCTTTTCAGTATTCTTCCTAGATTTTGGCTTGAAGTAAACTATTTATTTGTGATATGGAGACAGTCGCTTGTTACTGAGAAGGCAAGAACCCAATGGAAAAGATACAAAGCAATGCTTGATGATGCCAAAGCTGTAAATGATTCTCCTAACATAAAGATGACCAATGCTAAGGAGACTAATACAACATCTGGTAAGTTGTAGTATATTGTTACCCAAGGTCTTTCGACTTTGATAAGGCTACTGTATTCCCAATGTTTAATTTTTTTTATTGGATTTCCTCAATGGGACTGTTTATCATGATGTAGGGCAGGCCGATAAGTGGACAAAATTACTTCTTATGTTCCAATTTATCTGACATAATTTTAATGGGACATAGTTTTTACGATAGAAATGAAGACTTTTGAAATTTTTGGTCTAGAATATGCTATAGCATATATGTGGCTATAAAACTTTTGAAACTGGTGGCCTTTAACATGTCACAAAATTTATGTGGTTATAGAAGTGTCATTCTTTTTACAACAGACTACAAAGAATCACATAAACTGAAATGGAACGAGTATTATTTTGAGTTCTAATGAACTGACATTCATATTTTGAGGTCTCAACTATCCCATTTTTTTGCATTTAGTTAACATTAGGTGAATCTTTTTTTAATTTGTTCTTTTGAAAAGGACATTAGGCAAATCCTAAACCCTCTGGTAAGTATTGTCCTTAGAAGCTATTACTTTGTGCTCATATACAAGGTTGTATTTTTTCAGTATATGAAATATTCCCCTATACAGTTTGTAGAGTCTAAATGATATCCTCTATGAAATCATCAAAGTAATCTTGTGCATCAGGCTACTTGTCGACCATGTTAGTTACTATACTATCTTTAACATAATTAATATCTCCAGTAGACTGAACTAACTGGAGATGCATTTCCTCTGATTGTGCATTTTTGTCATTGGGATCAACTCAAATCTTCTGCATGCTACTTATTTTACTTTAGGGACATGTATATATATTTATATATATATGCATTTTACTTTATTATATAGGTTCTTAGTTGACTAGGTTCGCACAAAATAAAATGCTTCCGCATAAACACTAATTTCTTACAGAGCTCAGGAGATGGGGAGAAGTTGATGGCGATGGGGCTTAGGGCAGTATTGGGGATGCAAATAGTGTGCGGGAAAGGACGCGTCTTGCATTAGGTAAGTAGATAGAGAGGTGTTTGGGGTCTCAAGGGGTAACTTTGATGGACACCAAGTATCAACTCTTACCTCATTTCTATTTGCCTTGGTGATGGATGAACTGACACAACATAGTAAGGGGAAGTGTCATGTTGTATGTTATTTGCAGTTGATATAACATTGATTGGCGAGACACGCAGCGGATAAACGATAGGCTGGAGGTCTAGAGATAGACCTGGAGTCTAAATCCTTTAGTTTAGTACTTAAGGATCGTTTGGTTTGAAGACAAGTGATGCTGAGATTAGTTATGTTGGTTTAGTTATGTTGAGTTTAGTTATGTTGGGTTAGTTATGTGGAGTTTAGTTATTTTGCTATTTTTTTCTTATTGGATGCTTGGTTTGTTGTATTAAAAATAAGATGTCTTGCATAATTTCTTAGAAGTCTTTTTTTTTAAAAAAAATTATCTCCACCTTATTTAGTAGAAAAAGGGTTTGAGGAACCTCAGGAGTATTTTTGTCATTTTCATTGTTTTATCTTGGGATAACTAATCCTAGTACTATTAATCCACTCTATGGCAAGGATAACTTATTCGAGTAATAACTAATTCTGGTATAACTTATGCCATG